TGCCAAACAGAGGGTTTTATTTCTTCTATTATTGTTAGGCCACAATTTCATGTCTTGGGAATATGGGGCCGCTGTTTATACATACTCAGTTCTCAGGTTTTCACTTTCCCTGTCATCACCATTATTTGATTTATAATTTCCATACATAGTGACTGTCTAACATGAATCAGAGAAATACATGAGATGTTACATAACATAGTGTTTGGAATGATTGCAGCAGTAAGTTCACTTAAAGCACAGGATTTGTGATGTGTTTTTTTAATGGATAAAAGAAGTTAAAATATGTGTGCCTTTCAACTATACAATAAGTTTTACTATTAAGAATGAGTGGCTATCACTCTTAACATGTGAACATGTGACTGTATATTGGTCATTGATAAGCTGGCCTCTTTTTCTTTAAATGTCATAAAAATTGTCTGTATTTTATTCATGCATTTCTTTTTTGTTTAATTTATAGTTATTTAATACTATATTTAAATGCCAAAATAAGGACTAAAAATAGTAAAGGCATCATCTTTATTTTCAGTGCATTTCTATTTTAATCAAAAGATAGATATTAAACATGAAGCTAATTGTTGTTCGATTGTATTTGTGAAAATTGCATTTCAGTAGAAGTATAAGTTTCTCAAAGATTTGGAAAAAATATTGCTAGCTAAAGACTACATGGTGATGAAAAATGGGTAGGAACTCCAGACTTAGTAAAAGTAATGAGGAAGCATTTGTGAAGAACATTCTAGGTGAACAACGTAGCAGAATCATAAGAGAGAAGGTAGAGGGGTGGGATTATAGAGCTAGAAGGTTACTGGACATAGAGAAAATAGAGGGATCATCAGATCTGAGGTCCCAATGAGACCCAGAAATAGTCCTGGGGACAAAAGCACTCTTGGAAATGAGAACACTGGATGGAGTATAGAGAGACACTGGACTTGAGGATGGGAGATTAGTGGAGAAAGGAGGACATTTAGTGATTTTGAAAGTGGAAAATGTTCAGGTTATGTCAGATTTCAGATGTGACTCTGGAAGTGAAAGGCTAAGGAAGAGAAATGAAAAGTTTATTTATAATAAGGAGATCCAGTCAGGGTACTGAAAGGAATATTTGTATAGGTATGAGCATCACTTGGGATTGTGGGGCTTGAAGAGAAATAATCCAGTCTTTTTATGAAGAATGATCTGTGACTAGAGATTAGTGGACAGATGGTACCAACAATAAAGGAGATAGTGCATAGCTAGATGGCAGGAATAACAGAGCAGCAGGGATTTTTTCAAAGAGGTAAGGACATCCATTTATTCAATCTTATGCTCATTTAAGGGGAGGGCATGACAACCTACTTCAGTGTTCTTGCCTAGAGAATCCCATGGATGGGCTACAGTCCATAGGGTCTCACAGAGTCAGACACAACTGAAGTGACTTAGCGCACACAAAACTCATTTAAAATATTCTACACACCAACTTAACATGAGCACTAGGGGCCAGATCATCTTCAACCTGAGGGTATCTAGGGTGTGGAAGAATAGCAGCCATTGTCATTTGCAATGCAAGTGCTGTCCTTAATGAAGAATGGAATTTTAGTCAAGACTGGAAGGTAGAGACAATATTCTGAAAGAAAGTTAAGTATGCGGTGAAATTTGCAAACCATAGAGCAAAGTTCTGAAGGCACAGTGGAAGAACTTGAGCGATAGGAAAGAAGGAGAGAAAGCCACAGGGCAGAGTGAGAGGTGGGGGGTGGGGTGGGTGGTGAACCCGTGCTCAATGAAGAGCAATCGGCTCTGAAAAAATGGAGCATTATGGAAATTTTACTGTAGCACAAAATCAATACCTGAGGATGGTTTGAAGACTCAGGGGCCTGGAGGGAAGGGCTAAGGGAACAGGGTTTAGAGGACGTGGCAGAGTTAGTAGCTTAAGAGATGAGTACCTCCCTTTTCAAGGACAGATGGTACCAACAATAAAGGAGATAGTGCATAGCTAGATGGCAGGAATAACAGAGCAGCAGGGATTTTTTCAAAGAGGTAAGGACATCCATTTATTCAATCTTATACTCATTTATGGGGAGGGCATGACAACCCACTCCAGTGTTCTTGCCTAGAGAATCCCATGGATGGGCTACAGTCCATAGGGTCTCACAGAGTCGGACACAACTGAAGTGACTTAGCGCACACAAAACTCATTTAAAATATTCTACACACCAACTTAACATAAGCACTAGGGGCCAGAGCATCTTCAACCTGAGGGTATCTAGGGTGTGGAAGAATAGCAGCCATTGTCATTTGCAATGCAAGTGCTGTCCTTAGTGAAGAATGGAATTTTAGTCAAGACTGGAAGGTAGAGACAATGTTCTGAAAGAAAGTTAAGTATGCGGTGAAATTTGTAAACCATAGAGCAAAGTTCTGAAGGCACAGTGGAAGAACTTGACAGATAGGAAAGAAGGAGAGAAAGCCACAGGGCAGAGTGAGAGGTGGGGGGTGGGGTGGGTGGTGAACCCGTGCTCAATGAAGAGCAATCGGCACTGAAAAAATGGAGCATTATGGAAATTTTACTGTAGCACAAAATCAATACCTGGGGATGGTTTGAAGACTCAGGGGCCTGGAGGGAAGGGCTAAGGGAACAGGGTTTAGAGGACGTGGCAGAGTTAGTAGCTTAAGAGATGAGTACCTCCCTTTTCATTCAGACCTGGGAACAGGAACTCAGCTGTAATAACTAAGGCAAAGAAGAGCTTGGAAAGCTTCACTGAGCTTCACTAGAAGAGATCAAAAAGTGGGTACTGTCTCTAGCAAAGCGGGGTTCTTAATTGTTTAAATGCTGATATATAAAATGTTCAACCTGCCCAGAGGTTTACACCAAGAAGCTCCAGGCTTTTGTAATAATTGACCCATTCTGATCAAGAGTTCATTTTCTTTCCTCAGCCTTTCATGTTAAGCTTTCATGTTTAAGAATTTTATTTAAATTCTGCATTCTTCTCTGAAGTCTGGGATATACGTTAGTTACATAATTTGCATGAACTTTTCTAACATTTCTCCTCAGTGTTTTAATGTCATCAATTGAATTTGGTATGAAAAAGCAGGAAACTGCATTCCTTGTTGAACCTAATTTACTGCTTAGTACTTCTCAGTACTAAGTACCATGATTTAATACTCATCGAATAACTTGAGATAATAATATATTTTCCATAGTATCTAATTCAAAATCAGGAAAGTTTTTTTTTTTTTCAAAGCTATGAGGTACTACAGGCTTGAAAATAATTTTAAAAATTCATGTCAAGTGATGGATTTAGCTTTTATGGGCTGTGGATGAATCAAATATAAAGAAGTACAGTGGCTTAGTTCTAGTTAATATCAATATTCAAGCTGTGATCTTTTGAGTTGTCCCCATAAGATCATCAGGATTCCATCTTTTGTCATTAAATTGGCCAGGATTTTTGGCAAAGGCTTTGGCCAGTGTCAGCGTCAGGAACCTCATCTGCAATGTGGGAGCTGGTGGACCAGACCCAGAAGGAGGTCTGGCCCCATCCAGCACTGCTGCCCCTACTGAGGGAATAGAAGCAAAGAAAGAAGAATCTGAAGAGTCTGATGATGACATGAGCTTTGGCCTTTTTGACTAAACCTCTTTAGTAACACATTCAATACAAAGCAGAGCTCTTTAAAAAAAGAAGGAATTTGAGAATTATCAATAAATAGACTCTACTCTTCTAATTCTCTGCCTAAATAGTTGGCAGAGATCTAAACATGGATCCCCAACTTCCGGGATCTAATGTCTTATGATCTGAGGTGGAGCTGTGTAATAATAATAGAAATAAAGTACACAATAAATGTAATGCACTTGAATCATCCTGAAACCACTCCCCCTCACCCTGGTCCATGGAAAAATTGTCAATGCATACAGAGAGGAGCAAGAATTGGGGCCATTGGTACAACTGGTCCATTGAGTGAATACGTGGGTCAACGAGTGATTGAAGAGCGCTGGACTAAGGGTTGGGAGACATATCCCTGAGGCACTGTTCATTCTGTTAATTTGGGTATATTGTTTAGTTGTGAAGGACCCTAATTTCCTTAATGGCTCTTCCCAAACTTTAAAAGCTTTTGATTCAAGCTTTTAATGAAGTTTTAATGAATTTAATGCTGTATACAGTCTGTAAGAGGAACCTAAGGGAAGTTATTCATTATCCTACTCTTTAGTGAACCAACATGGCTAGTGTGGATGGCCAAAATTGATCAGCTACTTTTGACTCCATGAATCTCTGAATATTTTGTAATCATATCCAAGCTGAAAAACTTCTAATCTGAATTTCAGTAAGGAGCGATGTGCTGAAAATTCAATTTCTTATTTAAATTGAAAATTCAATTTAGTGCTTGCTCCTATCTGATGATTCTTTTGAAGCATACAGTATGTCAGGGCAACATCAAACACTATGACATTTCTTATAAATGAGATGTGTTTTAGAGTCCATTGATGTTTTACCTTAATAATTCATTGTTATGATGAACTGCCACTCTAAAATTGACTAAAGGATCTTTGTCATACTTGGATAATGTTGATAAAAGTGTAGGTTATTTTAAAGTAAATATTGTGATTAGTTTTACAATATAAAAGGTGTAGATAATACAGAAGTGAAACCTGTTCTTCATTATACAATAAATAATTATGTAACATATAATGAAAGTCTGCATTACTAAATTATTAAGAATAAAAAGGAAGTAAACAATATTTTATAAGCTTCATAAGAAGAAAGTAATGTACACAAATGGGTTTTGAAGATAACATTCTGCGTCTGAGAGGACTTGTTAATTGAATCACCTAGATTGCCTCAAAAATTCAACACCTAGATTACCAAAGTATATTGATGAAGATATAATCTGTAACCCATTGTGACATATGGACTGTTTGATTTCATATATACAGAAATAACTCACCATATGATAAGTATCTTTGTCATACACTGGGAAGCATTTATTTTGGACTGATAATTTACTTGTAAAATCAATCACTCTGCTCTGTGTCATTTCAGAGTGTCCACGTAGACAGATCCAAGAAACTGCACTCAAATCAAGCTGGTCTGGACTCAAAAGTACCAGCTGGTTGTCAAAATGATTTGGCTGATCTGGAGAAACAGAAGAGAAAGACTGAGGCAACCGCAGTAACAGGTACCGATGCAACCACAGGTTGGTTAAGCCACATGATACTGGCTTTAACTGCCTTTATGACAAAGGCAAAATGTACAGCTACTTATTACCATTTTATTTGGATATGTGACTCAGTCAAACCAACAGCCCTGACCTGTCAATCTCACTGAAATTTAGTTTTAAGTGAATCATAATATTAAACACATTGACAAAAGATCTATTCATTGTTTGCTGTTATTAGATTTTTCTTCTCATTTATGATTCTCATGCCCAAGGAAGTGTTTTTAGTCTAATATTTCTTGTATTATCATGACAATAATATTGCTAAATGTTTGCTAGATATAACAAGAAGGATTAACAGCTTGAGCAGAGGTCAAGATAATTGAGATTCTTTTAATTTTAAAAAGTGTCAGATGGGTAGTCTAATGCAGACTTGAATTATAATAGTTTAGTTTATAGAGACAGTGTTCTGATATTTTTCATCTCTACTAAAAGCAAAACAAGAGCAAATGGACTTGTCAAAAAGTTGATAGCATTCAATTAAGTTACCCAGACTAACTTCCATATTGTGGAAATCTGGGATAAGTTAGCAAGGGAAATGAGAATTTTCTTTCTTGGCAATATTTTTAAACACACCAAAGAAGCTCAATTTCTATTACACTTTATCTTTGAAACTTCACATTTCATTTGTAGAAAAATTGAAACTGTAATTATGCTTAAGCATATGGTTTGTTCTTTTCCCCTCCTTATTTGATTTTGTAGCCCGCACTCTTTTTTCCTCCAAGGGCATGTAAAAGTCAAAATACTAGATATAAAGTCTTTGAAGTGTTTCTGCTCAAACTCTGACTATGCAATCTGGGTTCTTTCATGTAGTTAACTTACTGGCTTCTGACACTCCTATAAAAATATCCCATAGAGCTTTTCTTATTACCTTTTCATTGACTCTTTCTGAATGATAAAAATGAAATTCTGTAAAGGGCTTTGAAAACCATGCATATTGCAATTCCTCCAAATTTCAAATACTAACCAAGTGTGACTATAAAAGAAACAACTACTGCAGCGAAAATTGGCTGCAGTGTGCTGAGTCTCAGGCTATTATTAATTCATTGGAAACTTTTTTTTTCCCATAAGATTATGGATCCTAAAAAGTACCAGATAACACAATCGCTGAGATCAAAGTTTTTGTTTCAATCATTGGAAAACTTATTATCTGACCTTCCCCTGTGTGTGAATCTTCCTGGGATGCTATATGACAGCTCCAGGTTTGTGCTGTGAATGAATCAGTGCAGAGTATGATACAGACCAGGGCAGGAACTGCTTTGAACATATTGCCTGTTAGTGATGGTTTAAGAAAAAAGAGGACCTGGAATTAAAGTGATGGTCCTAGGCAAGTGAGACTTTCTAACTTTACTCAAGAGAGTAAAATGAAATCTGCTTTCTTACATTAATTTCAACAAGAACTTATTTAAAAACTACACAGTATGTGTATCTGGGCAACATTTTCACTTGCTTTCCCATTTGAAATTATGATAAATTATAGAGTCTATCTTCATTGTGAATTATAATTGTGTGACAGTTCCATAATAAGAATACAAAAGTAAAGCAGAAATATAATTCTTCAAAATTCACTTTTGTCTTGTGAAACTTAACCTGTTTTCTTCAGTAAAAAGAGGCTCTTTGAATCTATGTGTGTGTTAGTAGCCCAGACGTGTCTGACTCTTGCTACCCCATGGACTGTAGCCCACCAGGCTTCTCTGTCCATGGGATTCTCCAGACAAGGATACTGGAGTGGATTGCCATCCCCTTCTCCAGGGGATCTTCCCAATCCAGGTATCAAACCCAGGTGTCCTGCATTGCAGGCAGATTCTTTACCATGTAAGCCACCAGGGAAGCCCCTTTGGATCTATAATTAACATTTACTGTACTTTGAATGAGTAGCTCATCTGTGAATATTCATTAACTAGCTGACAGTTCAGGATGGACAAATCATACTCTTTCTGAGTTTTCTCCTCTTTTAAAATTTTAGACACAAGTCAGTCATTTCCTAAATTCTCTTCAGGTGAGAATGGCAGTTTTAGAGTCTCTGTAGCACATCACAGAGAAAGCAAAGCAAAACCAAACAAAACCTCATTAAGACAGGGGAGCTGCTTCTGCAGTTTTGCTCCTTCTGGACACCCAGACCTTCCTCTTTCAGTTAGATGAAGTGGAACCATTTCAGATCTGTATCTAATAATTATACTGAAGGGAATTATTTATTTTGAAATTCACTACAGACAACTAGAAGATTCGCTCTAGATAGCTGAACACGTTGTATAATGAGGGTCTGATCTGTTGTGGCCGGGAGCACAGGAGATTCTATCACAGGATCTGTGCTGTCAGTCCCAGTTCCTCTTCACTTAAGAAACATGGACATACCTCACCAGATCTCAAGGGTGACCTTCCTCTCTGGATCCTCGATTCACTCTGGCTGTTCGACAAGGCCCAAATCTTATTTAGGGAACATTATTATTAAGTCTGCACATTGTTTGTCCATAAATTACCAAAAGAACAGTTCTCTGAAAGTAGGATGATTATGTAGTTAAATTTTGGATTCTGAACCTAAGACTGAACGTTAAACATTGGCTACTGCATTCACCAGCTGTGTATCACAAACAATTTGCTAACATCTCTATCTCTTTATTTGTAAAATTGGGTTAATAATAGTGCTATACTACTGGCTATTTCAATGACTGCATTAGATACATTAGATAAAATAGGTTAAAATTAGTATGCCTGCAAGCTAAGCCGCTTCAGTCATGTCCAACTATTTGCAATGCTATGGACAGTAGCCGGCCAGGCTCATCTGTCCATGGGATTCTCCAGGCAAGAATACTGGAGTGGGTTTCCATGCCCTCCTCCAGGGGATCTTCCAAACCCAGGGATTGAACCTGCATCTCTTAAGTCTCTTACATTGGCAGGCAGGTTCTTTACCACTAGCACCACCTGAGAAGCCCAAAGTACAGGACATAATACACTCCAGTTGAATTATGGCTATTATAATTAATGTCTGCATATTTATGAGTTGATGGCTAAGAAAAATTTTGCCTCCTGACAGTATATTTTGCAAAGTGCTGGCTCTGACCACTTGGTATGGCTCTTATAGTCTCTGAGTTTCTGTCCATAGTATTTCCCTTTGAGAACTCTGTCTTCTTGGGAATTTCATGGCCTCTATGAATCTTATGTACATGGAAAGTGATTAGAAATCTTTTGGAGACGTGTCACTGAATCCTCTGAATCTTTGAAGCAGTGCGATCCTACAGAGACATGGAATCCTTGAGCCCCCCTAAAGGACCCCTCTGGCTCCTTACCTCAGCTGCAGTAGCTCAAGAAGATCACAGTTTCCCTGGTTAATCAGTGGCAGCAGTGTTTTTGAAGAGATGACATGTGTTAAGTGCAAATGTTTGTTCTGAGCTGCTTGTTTCACGTCCAGTTTCCAGGGTGGACTTGCATATGGAAAGTTTATTGAGAAGTGCTTTGTGGGACAACACATAGGTTGAGGAATGAAAGTGGGTCTGGACAGAGAAGTCATCATAAAAGAAATCATAATAAATAAAAGAAATCATAGTAGAGTCACAAGAAAGACCTCAGCTGATGGCACAGGGAGCTGTGGGACTGGTGAGGCTCTTCTGAGTTGTCCTGTGTTAGGACAAGGGGGCCATGTTTTCACGGCCCCTGCTTCAGCCCATCATTGGATCCAGCTGCCTTTGGAAAGGGGATATGACTGTGGGCAAGGTGGCTTCCTTCAGCCCAGGGCAAAGTTGTTTGGTATCAGAGGATTATCATTTAGCTGTGAGAAGGATCTGGTTATTGTGTAGGTCACACATTAATTGCAGAGATTGCTTCTGGTGATCTGACTGGCTAAACAGAAAGATGGTTTTCTTTTATTCTCTTTATATATTTGGTTTTATCCTACATAAATATTCTCTATTGAGTAAATTTTGTACTCTCCTGATCAACATTCTCTAATGGAATTTCCTTGTTTTTGAAACTCCAACTATATTCTAATTATCCTACATCTTTATATTAAACCCAAGCCACAACTCATCCTCCAAGTAGTCAAGCAGTGAGAAGACCCCTGGGCCAGAAAGCAGAATACAGGTTCAGTGAGGTCTAGTCCCAGCGCTGTGCATCCTAGCTGTACAGACTGTCACAGGACATTTCATTTTTCTGAATTATATTTTCCTCATCAAAACATGAGATGCCCCAGGTAATTTTGATGTTCTTTCAGTTCTAAAAGCATGTGATTAGATGGTCTTTTCTGATATCATAGTCACGACATTATGATAAGTTAAGACTTTCTAAGTTAAGACTCACATAGAAATGATTCACCACATCTAGAAACATACTTATGGTAAATTAAACAGATAAGAGGAAACAAGTTTCATGGAAAAGCTTTCATTAAGGTCATGGCAGAAGCTAGAAAGAAAGAATGGATTTATAAGAAGATAATGAATTCTTTATATTGAGCTTTAATTCAATGTTAATGTTTACTGTAAACTTCAGATTTTACTTATATGTTGGGAATCAAAGCATAGGAACTTCTCTATAAAACTCTTTGAGAATTAAAAAAAAAACTATTTGAGAATTAAACAAGATGAGGGTTCCATTTTAAAGACCTTGACTGAATGACTGAATATATGTTATTTAGAGGTAGGCACTTTAGAAATAATAAAATATATCCTTGTTTTTCAATTTTGTTAAACACAGACTTCAATAATTCATTGTTATTCTAGATAATATGTAATTTTAAGCACAATAATTACTTTTACTCCTAAAGGCTAGAAAATCATTGTTTAAGATATCAGATAATTTCAAACTGGTAGTCCAAAAATCTGGTATATCTTTTGTCTTTCTACTTAACATCAATGAAGATTTTTCATAATATAAACAAAATAATGACAGCAGTAGAATTTCTCTCACATTTCTAGGGAATACTGTTTTCAGTTTAGAAATACTGACAGCCTAAAGTAAAACATTATAAGTCTGCTCTTCCTTTTATA